AGTTTTATGATTCCTGAACCAAAACCTTCCCATATCTGAGGAACAAATGGAATGACGACACAAAGAGAAAATGTCACAGAAAAAAGAAACCTGAACATTTGCTCTTCTACCTAAGGGAAACATCCAGGTGATTAATTGGCATAATGGGTTGTTTTATTTTGTGTTTGCAGGCGTTCATATCCTGACACACATTCTGAAGACAGAGTGCAATGCTAGTTTTCATGGATATGAACACGCATTTCCTACTGACACTCTTTTCAGTACAGAATGTCTGGCTGGCTCATGTCTTACCCTGACAACACGTCCCCTGCCAAGTTTTATTTATATTTTCAAGCTACTTCTCTATCTGGTACCAGAGACAATCTGGCCTCGGAGGAGCACTGGACAAGGAGTCCAAGAATTCTGGGTTGCAATGGTGCCCCTCAACTATAAATTTATGTCACTCCTCAAGTCTGATTTTTCCCATCTACCAACTGGCAAAGTCGACTAATCCACTTCTAGAATTCAATAATCAATCAAAGTCATTTTATTTTCCTCCAAATTATTATTGAACAGGACAATGTCATGGAGAGCTTAGCGTGATGTGCACTTCCAGAATTCCTTTACATAAAGTGGGAATATTCAAGGAAATATTCCAAATAGAACAAAGGAAAATGTTTTCCTGGAATCCTGAAATGTATCTCTTTCTCTGCAACCACTGGCTAGCAAAGAAAGAAAGAAAGAAAGAAGATAACTTTCTTACTTTCTTATTACAAGGGGAAGGATTCTTATCTCATTTTGAAGGGTAATATTAATCGCAAAGTAACAGTCCCAATGCCTGCTAGGTACTGTTCTAAGCACTCTGTTAATTCCTATAGTCTTCACAGGAATCTTATGAGTTGGGCCTGTTATTTTACTATAAAGTAAAGCAAAGCACAGAGAAGTTTGATAAGCTAGCCCAGGCCACCCAGCTTACAGAGCTGAAGGACTAAGACTGACTAACATTACCTCATAGTTGGAGAATTTCTTCTTACCAAGGCTCTTAACAGAAGATAGCAATAATGTAGTTTCTGCATTACTAACTAATTGCCACATCAGTTATTTTCTAATTAATTACCTAATTAATAAATATTTTCACAGATACATGGCTAAATGGGAACCAATACAAACCAATACCTGTTAGAGGCTGCCTCAAAGTCATATGTATTCAAAATGCCCACCATCACCCAATGTCTCACTGGCCATTGAGTCCCACCCATTTTATGTTAGCATATAACATGAGAGAATTCTCTAGCTCCCTTCTTACTAGCCAGTCTTACTATCTCATTACTCCTCATTGATTTTACAACCTGCCTGGGAGATGGCTGGTATCACCTCCCCATTCAGATGCAGCCTGACATGTGTTTAGGGCACACTCTGAACCAGAATGAGTGGATGTAAATTCTAGTTCCTTCCCTTACTTGCCAGCTCATCTCAGGCCAATTGCCAAATCTCCCTCTGCCCAGTTCCCTTAGTTATCAAATAGGAATGAGAATGTAAGTTTCTACTTCCTGGAGTTATTTAAAGATTAAGTAAATGAAGGGCAAAGTGCTCTAAGTCTTCCATAAAGATTACTTATTCTTATTTTTATTAATATGTGAAATTACTTGCCAAATATCACAAGACAGGTAGTAATTGGATTCAATCCTGATCTTCCAATTCCAAATGTCATCCTCTTCCCCCAACAGAATCCCATACCATTACTAAAAAAATACCATTCTCTTGGAATCCTGCCATATACACTAGAAGGATTTTTTTCCCCATAATATTGTTCAAAGACCCACAAGGTAGGTAATAATTGTCCCTGTTTTGCAGATGATGAAACTGAGGTTCTGAGAAGTGAAATGATTTCTCCTCAATTGCTTAACTGGTGAACATCCTTTTTCACAGTAAGTCCTAAATAACACCTAACATTCTTGAAACACCCTTTAATGTATGCTATTTTTTTTAAAGTGCCATCTAAAAGACATAAACTGTGATTTTCTTGTTTTGTTTGCTTTATTAGTTTGAAAGGATTAAATCCCAGCAAAAACAACATGTTTGACTTGAGTGAAATATCAAAATGAATTGCTGCCTCAAATAGATTCTTCATCTGCCTGCAGGGTGGCTCCAAGCCTCAGAAATCCACCAAATGCCATTTTTAGATGGGTACTATTAGGTACCAAGCTGAACACCCACCCATTTAAGAAAAATTACTTTACAGGGCAAAGGGGAGTGAAGAACCATATTCCTCTCTGGCTCTGGGAGGAGAAAATGAACAATAAGTGATACAATCTCTTCCCTGCAGCCTCACACAATGGTGTGTCTTGCAAATGAGACATACTGTGAAACAGCTTGAGAGATGAGCTTCATCAACAATAAGTAATTTTTATTCAGATTTTATTGTTGAATACAATGAACATGATTAAATGTTTCAGATACGCCTATTCAGACCTTAAGCAAACCATCAAAAAAAAAAAAAAAAAAAAACTACTAAAAATCATCTTCTAAATCCGCTTTAGGAAGAGATTTAATTGCCAAGTTGATGTGTAGAGCTGAACCCCCCACTTGAGAGCCACTGTTCCCAAGAAGATAGTAACAACACTTTTGCACTTCCCACCTGGCCTCTTCCCTCATCCCCGCCGATCCTGCCAGCGTTGCCAAATAGTTACAACATCAGTCCTTTCAAATCACTGCATTTTGAACTTCCTAAACCTTGAAGAGGGTTTCTGTGTATGGAAAAGAACAATAGCGCTTCAAAAGCCATTCCTGCGAGTTCTTCAATACTCCATTTGAATGCTAGGGTTTCAATCAAGGACATCAGCAGACAATTTCTGATTGCTTAGAAGTTGACTTTTATGCAGCTTTGATTAGGTCGCCCTTCTCAATGGGAAATCAAGAAAATCTTTGATCCCTTTCAGTTTCCAGAATTGTTACCAAGCCTTGTCGGGACAGGGAGCGAAAGAGATGGGGAAGAGGTAGTGGAGCGTTGGTACTCCAACTAACCTCTCCCCCCAATCCATTGGATCTTTTCGCCTGTGCAATTCAGGGTTCCATCCCAAATCACTCATCGCTGAGATAATAAAAACAATGGGTGCTAATTCAGGGGGTGGGGATGGTTTATAATTTTATGGATTTCCCGAAGACCTATAATTGGCACATGAATGTACAAACGTGAACCGGATAATTAGGAGGTTCTGAACGTAAGCCACCTTTAATTTATATGATTACTTGAAAACATGTTAAGTGTTGTGAAGCTTCAGCGGAACCCCCACCAGGCCTTTATTCAAAGCCATCAACATTGTGAAAGTGCGTCTCACCGGCCAGCAGGAGGGGGGCCGGCGGAAGAAGCTGCAGCGAGGCTTCTCGCTCCGGTCCCCGCGGGCTCGCTGGGAGAAGCATTGTAGCCTACGCCTTAGAGGAGGCCTCGCCCGCGCGTCCAGCCCCGGGGCACAGAAAGGCGCACTCCTTCTGCAGGCTCCCCACTTGCCCCTCTTGCTAACCCAGCTCAACACAGGCGTGAGCGGACATCTAAACGCACATGGAGGCACCCACCCACGCGGATAGGCACCCGAGCTTCTGCAACACACACACACACACACACACACACACACACACACACTCCACGAGCGCGCAGATGCCCGCACCGCGGCGCTCTCTACTCCGGCTGCCACCGAAAGCCCGGCGGTCTCCAATCGCTCCAGGCTTCCCCACCCCCACCCCATTCCTTTAGACTCTCCCAGCTTAGGCGGAAGTGCCCCAGCAGACCCCCAACAATGAGGACTTGTGTGATGCAGTTGGGGGTTGGGGATAGTTTACACCGAGTGAAACGTACACAGTCTGGCGGGTCCAGGAGGAGGCAAAGCATTAGCCAAGTGGCACTGGCCTCGCCAGGCAGTTTTCCCTTGTGCCCACTGCTCCCCAACTGATCCACCAGCACCACCAAAGAAAAGGAAAAGGCGGAAAAAAAAGTGCCTTAAAAAGTGCCGAGAAAAGAAGCGCCCTCCCACCAGGGCTCACAATAATACTCCGCGGGACGCAGCCAGCGGAGGCAGCAACTAGCCGGGGTTTGGAAATTCACTTTGTATGTACAACCATTGCCCCTTCCCGATGCCAGGACTCCACTCCCTGCTTCTCCGGATTCCCTGAATTCGGGATTCTCTAGGCGGTTGAGATCCCCTTTTATGGTTCCTTTATGACTAGAATCACAAGGGTTTAAACTTTCCCCAGTAAGGGAAAAAAAAAAAAAAAAGATTCTACACGCGAGGCAGAGAGTGGAGTCAGAAGCCCAGAGAGAACCGGTGCGGGCTGGTGAGGATGGAAGGGGAGCCGCGGGATAGCCAGAGACCCGGGGAATGGACAAACGGCAGAAAATGAGGCGATAGACAACCCAAAGAAGGGCTGGGGTCCGAAGAACACGAGATCCAGCTTTGACAGTGTTCGCCAAGGGGTTGGGGTCACTGGGATAGATCCGGTTTTCCCAGAGGTCGAGGCAGGACCGCAGCGCTGCCATGAAGTAGAGGAGTGAGAAACCGGGTTTCGCCAAGTGGGGAAGAGGGTCCAGCCCCCGGGCGACACTAGCGAGGCTGGGAAGTGGTTTGAGGAGCACAGGGCAGGTTCTGGAGTGGGAGAAAGAAAGCTCGGACCGATAGAGCCGGGACCGCAGGAAGGAGGAGGATGCAGGGGGTCCTGGAGAGAGATGAGTGTGTTGAGACTAGAAGATCGCCGGTGGTCAGAAGTAGGGAAATGAGGTGGGAGATTGGGGGTGAACAGAGGTTGCCCCTTGCCTCCCAGTAAGTAGAAGGAGAGGGCCGAAAACTGCTGCAGTCGCCATCCCGCAGAACCTCTAGCCAAACTCCCAAGAGGCGCGCCCCGACAGCCCTCCTTCTCACACTGGCTCAGAGGGTCCAGAGGAGCCACCCGGGCCCGCTGGCGCAGTGTCCCCGCCGGGCACCTGCTCGCGCTGAACTCCAGGGCTGCCCCGTGACCCCGCCGCGCCTCACCTCGGCTCGCCCAGAGCATCCTCCTCCTCTGCCGCAGCCGCCCAGGAAGCGGCTCCCCATGCCCGGCGGGCGGCGGCACTCAGGCGCGCTCTCCAGCCCGGGGAAGCCCCGGCGAGCGCGGAGCTGGGTCCATCCTCCCCGGGAGCCACGGGCCCCGCGTCAGAGCAGGGGGAGGAGACCGGGCCCGCGCAGACCCGCCTCCTCCCGCGGCCCCCGCCCCGCCGTCCTGCCGCCCCGCGCCCGCCCGGCGCCCCGCGGCGCCGCTCACCTGCCCGCTCTCTGGCCGCCGCCGGTTGGCCGACCGCAGCGCACCTCCGCCTTTAGCCTCCCGGCACCAGCTTCCTCCGGGTCGCTCTCCGCGCTGCCCGAGTGCGCTCCGAGAGCTTAGAAGAGTCGAGGTGGCGCCGAGAAGGAGGAAGCGAGCAAGCGAGCGGGGGCGCCACGGCTTGCAGTCGCGTCTCTAGAGCCCCTGCGCTCACTCCCCATCCCAGCGTGGAGAGCGGAGCAGAGAGCATGGGGTCCCCGCCCCAGCTGCGCTGGCTAGGAGGAGGAGGGAGAGGAGGGTTTCACAAAGTATCCAGTCTTTGCGCCACCGTTACCAGCAACAGCCCCAGCCCAGCCTCTCATTTTTCTCTGAGGTCTACTTTTACCCAAACCTCTAAACATACTCATGCCCAAGCTTAAAGAGTGCCAGTGGGCGAAGACAAGAAGGTTGGTTCTCCCTCTTGCCCCCACGTCCCTTGGCAGGAGAGGGCGCTCGGTCCCAGCGGCCAATGGTGGCTGGGTGGCTGTGGTCTTCACTGAAGCTTTGAAGCTTCCGGGCCAAAGTTGGGGAAGGGAGAGGTTTCGCAACTGCCACGTTTTCATCAGTCCTAATGAGAGACCCGTGCCCCTGAGGGTGTGCAGGTCCCAGTTACTTCTTCCCCAGTTCATTCTACCCGCACATGCTCCATTCTTGGAGTGCTCTGGAGTAAACCACCTTCAGATCAGAACCTGTGCAGAAGACTCCATTGATCATATACACCGCTCCCTACTTCAGATCCTAACTTATAATAAAGTTCCTAGGAACACCAAATCGCAGAAAATATTGGATTAGTCTGAAAACTCTTTCACCCTGAGACTGAATTCAACTTTGGTCAATGCCTGTCACAGCATACCTGTTTCCAGTGGCCCTATTGGGAGTGGATGGGAATCAAATTAAGTGCTGCCCCAAGCGTTCCTTTAAAAAGTTTATTTTATGTATTTGTTAATTAATTGAATATCCTCTTCTGAGAAGTGTCGTTTATGTCTTTGGTCCATTTATTGATTGGGTTATTTGGTTTTTTTTGTTTGTTTGTTTGTTTGTTTGTTTTTGGTGCTTAGCTTTTTTGAGTTCTTTATATACCCTAGAGATTAGTGCTCTATCTGATGTGTGAGGGGTAAAAATTTGCTCCCAAGATGTAGGCTCTCTATTCATCTCACAGATTGTTTCTTTTGCTGAGAAAAAAACTTTTTAGTTTGAGTCCATCCCATTTGTTGATTCTTGGTTTTAATTCTTGTGCTATAGGAGTCTCATTAAGAAAGTTGGGGCCTAATCCCACATGATGAAGATTAGGGTCTACTTTTTCTTTTATTAGAGGCAGAGTCTCTTGTACATCATCTCTCACAATTAGAGAAATGCAAATCAAAACTACTTTAAGGTATCATGTCACTCCAGTAAGAATCGCAGCTATTATGAAGACAAACAATAATAAATGTTGGTGAGGATGTGGGGAAAAGACACACTCATACACTGCTGGTGGAACTGCAAATTGGTGCAGCCGATATGGAAAGCAGTGTGGAGATTCCTTGGAAAACTGGGAATGGAACTACCATTTGACCCAGCTATCCCTCTCCTTGGTCTATGCCCAAAGGACTTAAAAACAGCATACTACAGGGACATTGCCACATCAATGTTTATAGCAGCACAATTCACAATAGCTAAACTGTGGAGCCAACCTAGATGCCCCTCAGTAGATGAAAGGATTAAAAAATGTGGCATATATACACAATAGAATATTACTCAGCAATAAAATAGAATAAAATCATGGAATTTATAGGTAAATGGATGATGTTGGAGAAAATAATGCTAAGTGAAGTTAGCCAATCCCCCAAAACAAATGCTGAATGTTTTCTCTGATATAAGATGACCGACCCATAATGGGGTAGGGTGGGGGAGCATGGGAGGAATAGATGAACTCTAGATAGGGCAGAGGGGTGGGAGGGGAAGGGAGGGGGCAGGGGGTTAGCAATGATGGTGGAATGTGATAGACATCACTATCCAAAGTACATATATGAAGATATGAATTGGTATGGTCATACTTTATATACAGAGATATGAAAGATTGTGCTCTATATATGTAATAAGAATTGTAATGCATTCCACTGTCATGTATTTAAAAAATAAAATCAATTTTTTAAAAAAAAGTTTATTTTATTCTTTTCAGGGGCCACACTTCTGTCTTCCAGCTGTGTAATAATAAAGCCAATGTGGTGGACTTTTTTTGTTGGTGGTGTTTTTTTTTTTTTTTTTTGGTTGTTCCCCCCCTCCCCTTTCCCTTAGTAGTTTCTGTCACCCATGAAAATTTAATGAAGCATTTTCAGTTATTATCTCCAGAGTCAATGGGCTAAAAATATTTACCCTAATGCACTCCTTGTAGAGCCACTAGGTCCATGACTGGTACATACAAAGTCATGGAGAGACCCTCCCTTTTTCCACAAAATTCACGACCCATTAAACTTATTCCATAATAACAGCTTCTGTACAAATGGAAGCCCTGGCAAACTTGACTGTCAGGCACCTCCTGAAAAGATAGCAATTTACATAGAGACAAGAAAAATTTGTGAGGTCATTGACAGGATGCAATCTTGGGAGAATAGTTGATCAAAGGAAACTCCCAACAAGGTAGGAAGGAGGTGCTATCCCTAATAACATTCAGTTTTTTACTACCTCTTCTGTGAACAGCAGATCTAACAGTGGGGACCAGGTCAACTGGCTCAAGTTTCTCCAACTTTTCCAAAGTTGTAAAAAGTAGGATGAGTTACCACCAGGAACTCTTCTGCATTGTGTAGGACATTCAGGCTGGTCACCATCTCCATTAAGAGGAATAAAACATTTAAATTTCTTCATGTATAAAGGCATACCCTTGGAATCAAGACCAAGAGAACAGAAAGAATCTGAGAAATCAAGAGTGAAATGTTCCTGGACAAATTAAGTGGCTGGAGAAATGTCAAACCTGGGACAACGGAGCATAGGTCCTGCTTTTTTTCACTGACTCTGTCTAAACACTTGAATGTTCCCAATGCTTTAGGAACACCAAAGCCATTTACATGCATTTTAAGATGCTGCATGCAAGAGATGCGGTCTTCACCTGCCTTCCACCTTGATCTGTTTTCAATTGACATTGTGGTTACAGAATTGAAGGGATGCTGAGCTGGTCAAGTAATGGAAATGTAAGAGAATGTAAAAAGTCCACCAAGGAGACTGGGCAAATTCCCATAAAATTCAACATGGGCAACAAGCAGCTGTTCCCAAGTCCAGGCTGGAAGAAAGCATGATCTATAGTTGCAAATTGCATGCCAAGGATCCAAAGGCCTTCCGGGTTAAACTAAATCCACTCTTAAAGGAATATTTTGTTGTTATACTAAACATGTCAAAAAAATAACGTATCTAAAAGTTAAGGTGTTGTTTTTCTTTTTAAATACCAATGTCATAAGCATGGCTTAGGGGGGGGAAGCTATAAACATTCTTTTATCACCTACTTTGAGAAATAGCAAATAATAATAATAGCAAAGATGCATGTTATTTATATACTAGGCACATTTAGGAGTTTTTCTCCTATCATATATCTTATGTCAGTGAGGGAGGCACTCTTATTGTAAAATATAGAGCATGGATTTTGGGATCTGATGGGCTGGCTTCTTCTCTCACAGGTTACCTCTCTATTTCCAAATTCTCCACTCTGTAGTGTTGATGAATAATACATCCTTCACGAGATTGCTGTGAGCCTTAAATGGGATAATATGTTGGACATGACTGACATCAAATAAGTCATCCAGTAAATACTGGTATTTTTTCCAGAATAATTCCGAAGTAGTTTGTTTTAATTCAAGAATCCTTGATGGAGTCCATTGTATATATCAAACACTGTGCTAGTCATTGAGAATAATGGTGACAAATTAGAAACAGAATCTGACTTTGAGGAATTCAGACTCATGGGCATGAATAGAATACAGTTAGACAAAATGGCATGTTTTTGAACTTCTCATGGTGAGCCCTCTGCACATGATTCTCAAGAACTCAAAGTGGGGAGCTTATATAAATACTGTTTGAAACTGGCCAATAATTGAAAGAAAACTCACTGTGAAAAATCATAAATCTTACTCCCAGTAACTCCTACAAAGGAATGAATGCAAATGGACAATTCATATATTATATAAAATTTCATTTATTCCTACAATTGTTTCAACATTCCTTTCATTGGATGGATTATAATAAAATGAATTTGCACTACAGGTTTTATTTCTTACAGCTTTATTGAGGTACATTGATAAATAAGCACTGTATCTATTTAAGATGTACAATGTGATGTTTTGACATATGTACACATTATGAAATGATTACCACAATCAAGCTAATAACATGCATCACCTCACATAGTATTGTTACTATTTTTTATGTGTGTGATGAGAGAACTTACAATCTACTCCTTTTTTTAAAAACTATGCAGTTCTTATTAAATATACTCACAATGCTGTACATTATATTTCCAGAACCTATTCATCTGATAACTAAAAGTTTTCAGCCTTTGACCCAAATCCCCCCATTTCCTCCACTCTCTAGTCCCTGACAACCACCTTTCTTTTATCTGTCTTTATAACTTTGACTTCTTCAGATTTCACATGTATGTGAGATGATGCAGAATTTGAATTTCATGTCTGGCCTTTTCACTCAGCATGATGTCCTCTAGGCTCATGTTGTCACAGATGATAGGATGTCCTTCTTCTATAAGACTAATACTCCTTTGGAGCTATATGGCCCCTTTTCTTTATCCATATACCTCTCAACAGGTACTCTGCAGGGTATACTGGGATTAATCAAGTACCATTTCCTGTGGAAATATTCCCAGGACTGAGATTGCTGGAATAGATACTGTTATATT